TCCTACCCCTGATTTACACATGCTGTATTACACCCTCTCCATGAGAGTGAATGTGTTGGGATATCACTCCCTGTGATCATATTAAGTTTGACTGCAAAAGAGATTTACAGACTTAATTATGGTCCCTAATCAGTTGACTTCAAGTTAATCAAAAGGGAGATTATCGTGAAGAGGCTTTACCTCCTTTAAAAGAGATAAGCAGCAGCAGCAGACATTCTCCTCCTGGCTTTGAAGAAGTAAGCTACATGTTGAGAGGATCTATGTCTGTGTGTGTGGCACCTAATAAGGACATGAGGGTGACCTCTAGGAGATGAGAGGGTCCCTGGCTGACAGCTAGCAAGATAACTGATAAGGTGTGGCTGTATCCCAGAACTCAGGAGGGAACCACGGGGAGGTGACTAAATCATGGGGGCTGGTCTTTCCCATGCTATTCTTATGATAGTGAATAAGTCTCAGAAGATCTGATGGGTTTATCAGGGGTTTCCACTTTTGCTTCTTCCTCATTTTCTCTTGCTGCTGCCATGTAAGCGCCTTTCACCTCCCACCATGATTCTGAGGACTCCCCAGTCATGTGGAATTATAAGTCCAATTTAAGCCTCTTTTTCTTCCCAGTCTTGGGTATGTCTTTATCAGCAGCATGAAAATGGACTAATACAAAAATGAAAACCTCAGTTTCACATCCACAAGGAAGACAATTCTTCCAAACAATGAGCGGAAGAAAATTGGGAGATGAGATCGCATCCCTGGCTGATACTTTTGATTTCAGCCTAGTGATATTCTGAGCAAAGAACTGAGTTAACTTGTATCTGATCGCTTAACCCAGAAAACTGAGTGTTAATCAATATGTGTGGTTTGAATCTACTGAGTGTGTGGCAATTTGTTACATAACAATATAAAATAAATACTCTGATTAATACTCTTTGCTTTGAAATATACTTTGACATTAATACAGCAATGTAATCTATCTTTTGATTACTGTTAGCATGGTATACATCTTTTTGCATCTCTACTTTTAACTTATTTGTACCTATAGAGTTAAACTGAATTTCTTATAGGTAGCATATAGTTGGGTTGTGCTTTTTAATCTAATCTCACTAGGATGTTTAGTTCATCTATATTTCATGTGATTAGATGACTGGGTTTAAGGTTATCATCTTACTATTTGTTTTCTATTTGTCCCATCTTTTCTTTGTAATTATTTTTATAGTTAAATTTTATCTCCTTTGTTGCCTTACCAACAAAACTTTTGTGTTATTTTATTGGTTACTTACAGGTCTACCTTGAAGTGACATAAATCATTTCATATATAAGAATGGGAAAACAATACTCCCATGTCTTCCCTTTGAGCCTTTGTATCAAAATGTCAGATATTTTGCTTCTTTTAAAATAATTTTTTTTCCTTTTTTTTTTTTTTTTTAGAGACAAATTCCCACTCTGTTGCCCAGGCTGGAGTGTAGTGGCACAATCACAGCCCACTGAAGCCTTGAACCCCTGGATTCAGGTGATCCTTTTGCCTCAGCCTCCTGAGTAGCTGGGACTACAGAAGCACATCACTGCATCCAGATTTTTAAATTTTTTTCTAGAGATGGGGTCTTGCTATATTGCAAAGGCTGGTCTTGAACTTCTGGGCTCAAGCAATCCTCCTGGCTCGGCCTCATAAAGTGCGGGGATTACAGGTGTGAGTCACCATGCCCAGCCCACTACTTTTATTTTAGAAAGATATTTGCATTGGATATAGAATTCTAGATTGATAGTTTGTTTTTTCTTTCAGTGTTCTAAAGATCTCACTGAACTGTTTTTTGGTTTGCAGGTTATTTGATGAGTAGTCTGATCTTTGTTCTGTATGTAATGTCTTACCCTTAGCTATTTTTAAGATTTTCTCCATCCCTAATTTTAGGCCATTTGATTATATCACTTTTGAAATTTTTTTTTTTTTAATGTTTCTTGTGTTTGGTGTTCATTGAACTCCTTAGATCTCTCGGTTTATACTTTTCATCAAACTTGAACAAATTTTATCCATTTTTTTCTGCAGATATTCTTTTCTGTCTCATTCTCTGTCTGGTAACTCTAATTACACATAACTTGAAGTTCTCCCACATTTGACAGATTTTCTGGACTTTTTCTTCAGTGTTTTTTCTCTCGTTTCATTTCAAATTTTTTTTTTTTTTCTTGAGACAGAGTTTCACTCTGTTGCCCAGGCTGGGGTACAATGGTGCGATCTCAGCTCATTGCAACCTCTGCCTCTGGGTTTAAGCGATTCTCCTGCCCCAGTTGACTGGACTACAGGTGTACATGGACATATCCAGCTAACTTTTGTATTTTTGGTAGAGAGAGGGTTTTGCCATATTGGCCAGGCTTCGCTGTTTCATTTTGAATGGTTTCAATGGTTACCTCCTCAACTTCACTAATCTTCTAGAATGTCTAATCTGTCTCATCCAGTGTATTTCTGATCTCAGACATTATAGCTTTTCATCTGTAGACATTAGGTTTGGGTTTCTTATATACATTATATGTCTTTATTTGCTCAACCTTTCCTCCAGCCTCTTTAATGCATGGAATAGTTACAGTTACAGTGTCCTTGTCTACTAATTCTATCGTATATGTCATTTTTGCACTGGTTTCACTTGGTCTTTCTCTTCTCACTATTGGCTATATTTTCCTGCTTCTCTGCATGCCTGGTAATTTTTTATAGGATGCCAGCCATTAAAAATTTTACTTTAGCTATTTTTATATTCCTAAAAAATATTCTTCAGCTTTGTTCTGGGATACAGTTATTTGAAAACTTATTTCAAATAAGGATCCAAAGTTTAGTGAATTAATAATGAATTAATTATCTTGATGAATTAATTCCTTTATAACTATAAAATTGCTTTTAAACTTCATTAGGTGGGAACCTGAGTAACATTCAGTCTATGGTTTACTTAACTACATTATGGAGCAAAACCCTCCGAGTATTCTACCCAATGCCCTGTGAATTATGAACTTTTCCACTCTGCTGGTGGGAACAGGAAGTATTACTGACACTGTTTATGGTCCAGAAATTGTTCCTTGTAACTGTTTTGAGTGGTTCTTGTTTTGGCCTCAAGAAATTTATTTACATGCATTCCCTGACCGGTTGTCTGCTAAACATTTGAGTAAAATCCTCTTATGATCTCTGGAGTTCTCTGTGGAGCTCTATCTGGCATACTGTCCTGCAAGGTCAAGTCACCATGGCCTCCTCAAACATCTAGTACCATGTCCATCTCTGCTGATATCTACCTGTTTTTCCCTCCTTTAGCTGTAACCTGGAAACTCTCTCCACAAAGCAAGCTGGGTAATTGTAGGGCTCACCTGGTTTATTTCCTGTCTTTCAGAGATCAAAATCTGTCTATAGCCTGGTGAACAATATCTTGAAAACTATTTTTTTTTTTTTTTGAGATGGAATCTCACTCTGTCATCCAGGCTGGAGTGCAATGACACAGTCTTGGCTTACTGCAACCTCTGCCTCCCAGGTTCAAGCGATTCTCATGCCTCAGCCTCCCAAGTGGCTGGTACTACAGGCATGCACCACCATGCCCAGCTGATTTTATGTATTTTTTAGTAGAGACAAGGTTTTACCATGTTGGCCAGGCTGGTCTCAAACTCCTGATCTCAAGTGATCTGGCCTCCCAAAGTGCTGGAATTACAGGCATGAGCGACCATGCCTGGTCCTTGAAAACTATTGTTTAATATATTTTGTATAATTTTGTTAGATCTTTCATGTATGAGGGCAAATACAGTATCTGTTAATCCATGTTGACAGGAAGTAGAAGTTCAGGATTTCTTTTCTGGATTTGATCCTTAAATGTTTTCTGGATATGTTAAATTTAAGATGTCAAATGTTACTGAAAGGTGAAGTAAGATGAGGACTAATAAATGACCACTGTTTTTTTAGGGAAATGGTCACTTTTTCATTTTTAGTGAAGTGGTGGTCCTGGTGGAGACGGCTGAAAGCCAATTAAAGAAGGTTGAGAAGAGAGCATGAGGTAAAAAAGTAGAGACAACAAGTCAGCTCTTTTAAGGACTCTTAGTTAAAAAAGGGTAGGTGGGGGACGAAATAGGAAGAAGATGTGCAGTGTAGTGAGGTTTTTTTGTTGTTGTTTTTGAGACAGAGTCTCGCTGTGTCACCCAGGCTGGAGTGCAAAGGCACGATCACAGCTCACTGAAACCTCCACTTCCCAGGTTCAATTGATTCTCCTGCCTCAGCCTCCCAAGTAGCTGAAACTACAGGTGCATGCCACCACGCTCAACTAATTTTTTTTGGTATTTTTAGTAGAGACAGGTTTTTACTATGTTGGCCAGGCTGGTCTTGAACTCCTGACCTTGTGATCCGCCGCTGCCTCGGCCTCCCCAAGTGCTGGGATTACAGGTGTGAACCACCACACCTGGCCTGGAGATTTTTAAAGAATAGGAGATATTATGGCACATTTTAAAGTTGATGAATATGCTCTAGTAGAGAGGCAAAACTGATGAGGAGGTATAAGATAGGAACAATGAGAGATATTGAAGGAACAAGGTAGAAAATGAAACAAAGGCAGTAAGTGGATGCTCCTGCTGAAACACATGGGATGCACACTGCCACTGTCTTTTTGTCTCCCTTGAGTTGGCTGGGGGGCTGGGTGGCTGCTATAACTGCAATAAGAGCAGATAAGTATTTCCAGGACTATTAAAAATTATATTTCACAGAGAAATACTTCGAGAAATGGTGAAATTTGTATCCTAATATCAAAGAGTTTTACATAATCCATAATAAAGCTAAATTATATGCTTATGGCATATAAGTTATAATATAACTTGTAATACAGTACTATTAAGGTCAGAGTTCTGCTACATTAATAAGCTGAAAAGACTCTCCTGCCTAAGAACTAAATAATTGTTACTAAGATTATTTTAATAGAAAATGTGTTTCAAGATTTTTAATTAAATATTTACAGAAAGCTTTTGAACCCTGCTCAGTTTTAAGTTAAGGATGGCGAGCTTACCAGTCTTCATCAGCTAAAAGCCTCAGGGCTTCTGTCAGTGCTATTTCTGGTTTACAGAATGGCCGTAGTTCTGATAAATCCATTATTTCTGGACTATGAGTGACAGAAGGCATCCTTTCTTTATACTGCAAAATGGCTCTAGTAGATGTTTCGCCTAAAACAAAATATATTAAATAAACTATAAGAGAATCCTTTTTTTAAATTTTCATCTTTTTGAGATGGAGTCTCACTCTGTCGCCCAGGCTAGAGTGCAGTGGTGCAATCTTGGCTCACTACAACCTCCACCTCCCAGGTTCAAGCTATTCTCCTCCTCAGTCCCCTAAGTAGCTGGGACTACAGGCATGCACCACCATGCCCAGCTAATATTTGTATTTTTAGTAGAGATGGGGGTTTTACCATGTTGGTCAGGCTGGTCTGGAACTCCTGACCTCAAGCAATCCATCCTTTTCAGCCTCCCAAAGTACTGGGATTACAGGTGAGAGCCACTACACCCAGCAAATTCTCTTTATACAAAGGATACAAACATTATTCTGACTATAGCTAAACTAGTACTATTAGTTTAGTCTTGAGAAAATTACAGTACCCAGAAACCAAAACTATTGAAAACTTTACTTTTATATACAAAATTATTAACAAATTATATTTAATGTAAATATGTAAGTAGTTTCAGTCATGAGTCATAAAAAAGTCTAGTTTTATTTTAATAGCTAAAAGCAAAAGAAGTAGTATGATCCCATTTTGTAAAAATATGGATACATACCTGTTTTATAACTGAGAATTGAAGATGAAGTTTCATGGATCTGTATGTAAAATTCTAGTTGATTTTCTCTATTGATATGGAATTAGTGGCCTATTATAAATTCTAAGATCATGTGTACTGTAAGAATGATGTTTCCTCTATAATAAGACATTGACCAAGCATTTTCCAGATGTAAGGCACTGCACTAGAAGTTGGAGAAACAAATCATTCTCAATGCTCAGGATAATGCCCTTGAGAGCACTGTATAATTCGAGACACATGCAGTGGAGGTATGATAAAGAAAAGAGTCAAATAGAATGGGCTTTTATAAGCAGGTAAAGATTTAATGGCTCTTTTTCCATATTAAGACATGTTTTTTTTTTTTGAGATGGAGTCTTGCTCTGTTGCCTAGGCTGGAGTGCAATGGCGCAGTCTAGGCTTACTGCAAACTCTGCCTCCCGAGTTCAAGCAATTCTCCTGCCTCAGCCTTCCAAGTAGTGGGATTACAGGTGCCTGCCACCACACCTGGCTAATTTTTGTATTTCTAGTAGAGACAGGGTTTCCCCATGTTGGCCAGGCTGGTCTCAAACTCCTGACCTTGTGATCTTCCTGCCTTGGCCTCCCAAAGTGCTGGGATTACAGGTGTGAGCCACCATGCCACGCCAAGAAATATTTTTAAAAAGGAAATATTAGTCACTATAAAGTAACTATCATGAAAAATTATTTATTAACCAGGTTATCTGTGATAAAATGTTACAGGAAATCACAAATATAAAAATCTCACTTTCAAAAAATTTATCACATATGTAACAAAAAAATGTACAAAGTTAATTAAGTATGATGCTTTGAATTACTACAGTGATAAATCAGTATCAGATTTTGTTATATGAGAAAGATGATATATGAATTAAAGAATATAAGAGACCCCTTTCACTTTTTTTTTTAATGGTTCAGGTGTACCCTCATTAGGCTTCACATATAATACTGACATGTGTAAACAGAATCCTCCAGCTTTGGAATATCCCAATCCTAAAATAATAGCATATTAAAAAATAACACTATTATCATTTATTATCTTCCCTAGTATTGTGCTAAGTGCTTCATTTATACTACCTAATTTAATTCATTCAACAACTCTATGTAATAATTAGTATTCCTACATTACAGATGAAGAAACCAATGTGGAAGTTTTAAGAATTCCCTTAATATATCTAATCCATTCCCACTCTCATGAAACAATAACTCACTAGAAAGAGATACAGATAAACACCAAGTTTTCAACCTCGAGATTATAACAATATCAAGTATTGACACCTATCTTTGTTTTGTTTTCACCAGAAGAATGCTATTTTGGAAAAGGAGGTATATAGAATATCAACTGAAAGTAGTGATGCTCAAATAAAGTTTTTTTTAAACTTCCACTGTGTTGCAGATTGATACTTCTATAAAGTACAATGAAAGTGTTATGGCACTGTCAAATTATTAAAATAATTTCTAGAAGCAAAATATTGTTTGCTTATGTTATCATAGATAAGTAATAAATAGTTCATACAGTCTATGAAACACACTTTGAGTAGCAATGATCTAATGGATAGAAAGTTTCTTAAATGGAGACATATCCAATAAGAATTTAGCTATTAAAAATTATTTCTGCTAATATGTTCATAATCATAGAGCTGAACAGCTATACTTTGAGCTGATCAACAAAAAAACTGTGTGAGCATATTCTTATTTTCAAATAATATCAGAGTGACTTCAAAGTACTCTCCTTATACTTCTCAGAAACCTAATCCTTAAAGCCTACATTATAGGCAGAAATCACAAAATTAGTTGATGTCTCCATCAAGAATGAATGCCCCCAAATTTGTGATATATTACTATTTGTAATATTTGTATTTCTAGTTCTACTTTTCCTATTGGCTAAGTTAGGTAGGAAGCTTGTGGGTTTTTCTCTCACTGAATGTTATGACAATAACAAATAGTGAATTATCTGAGACTACTAAGAGGGTTAAATTTCACAAACACCTACATTTAATGGGTTTTATGGACATCTTTAGCCACAATTTTACAGGCTAACACCTCTCATCAGGCAACTCTCAACAATGATTACCTTTGAAAATAGTTTGCTACGCTTGTTGCATTATAATGGAAATAAAAGCTAGGAAAATCCTCAGACATTAATTTAGGTTAAATCTTTTTTATTTTTATCTTCAAGAGAAGTATACTGTTTATTGTATTGAGTATTTTTTTCTAAACTCCTTATTTTGTTGCTATCTAGACTTCAGATACAACATAAACTTGAGTGTATTTCATGCAGTTTTCTTAATTATAATTAATATTTAACAAAATAAGCAATAATACTTAATGTTTATTATAGTTCACACGATTTTTCATTTCAACTTCTGATTTTTCCTAGTTACTACTATACCTAACATGTATTCAATATTTTAAAAAACAACACCAGGAACCTAGAGCCTACTCTTGGCCAAGCATATAACATACTAGGTACTCAAGGACAGACTGAATAAATGACAAATGCAATGACTTTTTTGGATCATGATATAACATAAACCAGTTTCACCATCTCAGTTGTCTTTGCTATAAAATGGGATACTACTCCTTAGCAAAACAGGACTATTTCCAGGGAGTATGGAAGAGATCCTTGAGATTATCTGGACCTTTGAGATAATTAAGCCATTCACAGGGGCAGAAAACAAGCCTGCTTCCAGGTCACAAAGCTAATTAAAGAACTGATACTTAAGAAGCAGGTATGTCTATTGACTCCTCCTTCAGTACTCTTTCTGGCACAAATGCACTGGACCACATGTGGTCTCTTCAGTTTAACAAGCATTTGTGACTTTACCCTTTACATCTAAATAAGTGACTTATCTGACTCTGAAAACAATAAAGATGGTGGCCATTTTAAAGTGGACCCTTTCAATGGAGAGCTGAAGGCAATGTTTTCTCAGAAAACTTTCATTTTTTGATAGCCCCAACTCATTTCCAAAAATATTAAGTCTAGAATGGAGAAACACAATCATTTTTCTTTTTATGAGAAAGCATATTATTATAATAGTTACATATAATTAAAATAGAAGCTATGGGTCTTGCAAATTTCAGTGTTATATAAGATATTTCATTCTTAGTCATGTATTACCCTCAGTGAAACTTCATTTCACCAGTTTTAGACTATTAGTAGGAAAAAAATTACCAGCAGGGCACAGTGGCTCACGCCTGTAATCCCAGCAATTTGAGAGGCTGAGGCGGGCGGATCACTTGAGGTCAGGAGTTTGAGACAAGCCTCGCGAACATGGTGAAACCCCATCTTTACTAAAAGCACAAAAATTAGCTGAGTGTAGTGGCAGATGCCCATAATCCCAGCTACTCAGGAGGCTGAGGCAGGAGAATCACTTGAACCCAGGAAATGGAGGTTGCAGTGAGCCGAGATCACACCATTGCACTCCAGTCTGGGCGACAAGAGTGAGACTCCATCTCAAAAACAAACAAACAAGACAAAACATAAATTCCACTTACTTTCAGATGCCATTTTCTCAGTTCCTTTATGTTTCATTCGTTCCCAGGAATTTTGTTCCTTCTTTTCACAATCTTTACTGTGGAACAGTTCTTTCTCTTCTTTTCTCTTTTGTCTCATCTTGTTATAAGTAGATTTTGAAATAGAAACTTTAACCTGAATGAAAAAGTTGAAAGTCTGAAAATATTCAGGGAGTTTGATATGTAAAATATCTTCATCTCAGATAACTTATCTGTGTCTGAGGATATTAGTCTGTCACTACTTGAGTATATCCTAGAAAACTAAATATATACATACATATATATGTATATATAGTACAGTAAAATATAAAGCATACAGAGAGTATAAAGTATATTATATACTTTATCCCCAGAATGAGAATGCCTTTATTAAGTGTGAAGGGCAAATAATCTATTATTTAAATGATTAAGGATTAAAATTTCTTTTTTTTCCCTTGAGACAGTTTCACTGTGTTGCCCAGACTGGAGTACAGTGGCACGATCACAGCTCACTGCAGCCTTGACCATCTGAGCTCAACTGATCCTCCTACCTCAGCCTCCCAAGTAGCTGGGACCACAGGCACACGCCACCACACCTGACTAATTTTGGTATTTTTCCTAGTGACAGGGCTTTGACACATTGCCAAGGCTCAAAATTTCAATTGTACCAAGATTTAAAAAATTTTAATCAAAATACTTTCACCACCCCACATCTGATATACACAAAACAATGACCTATTGTAAGCTTAAATTTATTCTAATAATTAGCAAATAATCTTACATCTTTGTCATTCTCAACATCAAGATATGATGAAATACGTTGCTGGACTGATCTTCCATAAATCCCTGATGGTGGTTCAATACTTTGTTTAATTGAAAATGCATCCCCATTTTCCACAGAAGATATCATTGATTGGCTGCAGGTTGCTGGTGCTGAACTTAAACTTCCAAATACGCCTGAAATCAACCAACCACCAAATAGTCATTAACTAATTATATGATGATACTCTAGATAACAAAGTTTAAGGCAAGGCTCTTGCCTTCAAGAATCAAACACCACAGTAAGAAAAACATGCTAAATAATTATAAAATATAAAAACAAATACCCTAACAGGGCAATAATATAAGAGGTGCCAGAACACAGTTCATCGTAATAAGTGAAAGCTGCATATTATAAGTGGTAGGCACACATAAAGAAAACATTTTTGTGAGCTATTTTTATTTGAGACAGTCTCGCTCTGTCACCCAGGCTGGAGCACAATGGCACAATCTCCCCTCACTGCAACCTCCACATCCCAGGCTCAAGCAATTCTCCCACCTCAGCCTCCCGAGTAGCTAGGACTACAGATGCACAGTACCAGGTCTGCCTAATTTTTTGGGTTTTTTTTGGTAGAGGTGGGGTTTTGCCATGTTGTCCAGGCTGGTCTTGAACTCCTGAGCTCAAGATCTGCCCACGTAAGCCTCCAAAAGTACAGGGATTACAGGAGTAAGCCACTGTGCCTGGCAGAGCTGGGTGTTTAAGACGGTTTCAAGGAGCAAGGATTTGAGCTGGGGATTTGAAGACAGGAGAGGGATCTGTATAAAGTAAAGAAGGAGAGGGGAAATCCTGAGATGGGGACGTTTACATGTAGAGTTGAAAGTTTATAAAGCATTTATGTGGAGCAAATAAATGAGCTTGGTTGGGCAAATGAATAACAGAAAGTAAGTTTACAAGAGTAAGCTGCAGCCAATCTGAGGAGGATTTTAAGACTATCAAGCAAAGAAGTTAGGAAAGATTTTAAGATGTTTATTCTATTTCATTATACTGAACAAAAATCAGATGCATACACTCAATGTATATCACCACATTCTAGTTTTCAATTAAAATAGAAAATAGCTTTAAAGGGTACTTGCAATTAACTTGTTCAAGGTCCCTTAGCCCCCTTAAAATATATAACAGGAGTTTAATTTTCACTTGTCTAGATTTTGTATGGGAGATAATTTTATTACTTTATATTGATTATTAAGCTGATAAATAAGGGCTATTTGAATTTAACTATGCTAAAATTATCTAAGTGATCCTAAAACTCTCTAAGTTTTAGGTACCTAAACTGCAGCTGTCACATAATACATCTCTCTGAAAATTAATGACATGAGTTTACTATAATTTCATTAGAAGATAGAAATGTGAAGGTTCAGTATTCACTTCTAATTCTTTTAATGAAGATAATGTAATATATTTTTAAAAAGAAGCTCCACTCAACACTTGAATTACATTCTTTTCTATTCCTTATTGATAGGCTTTGCGTATCTATGATGAATACATATAATTAAGAGTGAAATAACTTTGAAATACCTTTTCCAACAACTACTACTGAGTTTTCTGATAAAGTCTTTGTGGATGTGAAGTCAAAACTGGAAATTTGCTGTGCATTTGTTGATGACCCTGCAAATCCTAAAAAAAGAAAGAAAAAAAAAAACCAAAACAAATAATTAAAAATATTTGACTATGTAGTATCTTAGGATATTGTAATATGGTCTTTTAAAACTGAAAATTTATTTTGAACAAATAATTGACAATTTATTCACACATGTTAATTAAGTTATTATTTCACTACAAATATTTATAACTGGAATACTAGAATGGACTAGGCACTAGAGACAAAATAAACTTTCTTTTCCTTAAGGAGTTTACACATGTCACCGTGAGGTGTGAGAGTCACACAAGTGAATTATCACAGCATGATAATCAGGCAACAAAAGGGTCATCAAAAAGCAAATCCACTGATGTCAGAAAACAAATCAGGTCAAATCTCACAGCAACCTGTACGTTTCTAGGTTAACTTTTATCTTAGTTTCTGATTCTTTATAATTGTACTAGACTGTAAGTTCCATGGGGATAGGATGTATGTCTAGTTTTGATGATTATTCTTTCCCAGAGCCTAGAACAGTGTTTGGCACATACTAGGTACTCCATAAATAAATGTTAAATGAATGTATCAAGGCAAAAAAAAAAAAAAGAGAAATATATATTACTTTAGGTTTTATGAAAGAAAAGCCATGAAACAGTGGAAAATTCAATCATATAACTGATTTTTAAAAATTAAGCAGCAGATAGATTCTTTTGTTAACTGCTAGTGCTAATAATAACCTGGCTTAATGTGAAAATGGCAGAGATTAAAAAAAAATCCATGTAAGTGACCATTTTTCATATTTCTTCTTATATTATGGAATAATCAAAATTAGTGCACACTTTTATAGCACACATTGACTAACAGAAACACCGGATGGCCCAAAAATGTGTTCTGAGACAAAGGGAAACCAATCTCAGTAAATGGAACAATTTGCTCAACAGTCCATACAAACATAAAATCTATAAACTATCAAGAGATGAAGGAATGATTAGACAAATCTCATCAGAAAAAATGTAAAGGACATGTCATTTCCAAGTAGTTTAACTTCATTCATAAGAAGCTGTCATTAATCATTTTTAATGTACTTTTATTTTTTATACTATATTTTTTCTTAAAGAAATGTTGAAAGAAATATTGTTCACTAAGTCTCAGTTCTAAAATATGTAGAAAAACATGTTTAAAGGCTTCTTCACACACAAATATCATTATATAACTTTTCTTTGTTATACTACTTCCATCTAATTCAAATACAGAAAGAGTAAATAGTAAATCATGGGCTCTAATGTACTAATACTTCAAGCACTGTCCACTTTCTCAAGTCATTAATTGACACAGCAGACATAATCTAGACCATTACAACTAGGAAAGGGCCCCTAAGTTCTGCACCTACAAACTAAGAAAACTAGTGTTAAAAGTGCAAGAGCATGGGGGACGAAGAGAGAAATAAAAAGAAATTAAGCTGATGCAAGATTATTAAGGGTCTTAAAAGTTATGCTACCAGGCAACGCATGGTGGCTCACGTCTGTAATCCCAGCACTTTGGGAGGTCATGCAAACAGATCACCTGAGGTCAGGAGTTTAAGACCAGCCTGACCAACATGGTGAAACCCTGTCTTACTAAAAATACGTGGCACACGCTTGTAATCTCAAACACTCATGAGGCTGAGGCAGAAGAATCGCTTGAACTCAGGAGGCAGAGATTGCAGTGAGCCGAGATCGCACCACCACTGCACTACAGCCTGGGCGACAAGAGTGAGACTCTGTCTAAAAAAAGAAAAAAAGTTATGCTATGGAGTAGAACTGTGTTCTGTAGAAAACAGAGAACCACTCAAGGTTTTTGTTTTTTTTTCCAGGGGTTATTGAAGGTTTTGAGGATGGAAAAGATGATAACTGTATTTTAGAAAGACAATTCTGGAAGATTATGCAGCCTGGATTTAAAAGGAATGAAAATAAGAGGGCAGCCATACCAGAAAGCTTTTGTAATTTTCCAGGGAATTGGTAATGAGGGCCCAAATTATAACTGTGGCAGGAGATACATTAAGTTACTAAGAGTAAATGATAGGATGAGCCACTTCCTAAATGTGGAAGGTAAAAGAGAAATAGACAAAAATGACTCTAAAGCCTTAAGCCTTCATAACTGGGAAAATGGTAATGCTACTAATAAAAATGGACAAGAAAGAAACAGAAATAGGCCTAGGAAGAAAGTTAATTTTATGAAGTAGAATTAACTGCAGGCTAAAAGATGTAAATATGTTTATGATTCTGCTGTCTAGAAAAGGAAGCTACTAGCAGTGAATGAACATATTCAACAGTTATTTCAAAGCAATTTTTAAAATAAGAAATAAAAAAATTATATTAGGGTATGAGTTACTTTTAAGATGAAAAGCATGTTTTGTCCTTGATTTTCTTTACATGAGAAGTAAAACATAAATAAACATGAAAAAATCTTATTTTTTTTGTAAAACAATGAACAACTTATTGCTGTCAAATAGAACAGACATTAAATTTTATCACAGACTAAATTTTAAGAAATTTTCAAAAAAAAGTTTCTAATCAAATTCCATCTTACTCAATTTAAGTTAACATCCACAAAAAATATTCATGTCCTAAAATGCCTGATTGCCTGCTCATATATAATTTAAGATAATCAGAAATAGCAGGTTGTGGGCAGTGGCTCACACCTGTAGTCCCAGGACTTTGGGAGGCCAAGGCAGGTGGATCACTTGAGGCCAGGAGTCGAGATCAGTCTGGCCTACATGGCGAGACCCTGTCCCACTAAAAAATACAAGCTATTAGCCAGGTGTGGTGGCATGCACCTATAATCGCAGTTACTAGGGTGGCTGAGGTACAAGAATCACTGGAACCCAAGAGGTGGAGGTTGCAGTGAGCTGAGATCACGCCACTGCACTCTAGCCTAAGCAACAGAGCGAGACTGTCTCAAAACAAAAAACAAAAAAAACCCCGCATAGTACAGAAGTTGATCTTATCATGACCACAGCTGCTAAGCATGTAAAAATAACAGCTTTTTATTTACTTACATATTTTAGATTACAGGTACACCTTCTAATTACTAGTTGGTACAAATGTAGGTTGCAATTAAAAATGGCAAAAGTCACAAATACTTTGGCACCAACCTTGTATTCATTTAAATATTTATATCCTTCAAAACTACTTTTTTTTTAATTGTAAGGGAAATTTTTAAATTGCAGCTGTAATAGGATCTCTTAAGCAATAGACAGAGCAGTCACAGAGGTACTACTTGCTACTAAGTTAAAAAAAAAAGTAACTCTTAACAACAGCAAAGCTTTCCCATGTTCTACCAGAGGAAAATTACATTCCTGTTGCCCCAACTTTACTTCATGGTTACAACCTAACTGGACATCTGGCAGTCATCAATCCACATGACATCTTCCATCCCATATTAATGGCAAAGTAAGTGTGTGTGTGTGTGTGTGTGTGTGTGTGTGAGAGAGAGAGAGAGAGAGAGAGAGAGAGAGAGAGAGATTTATGTACATGTATCTGGTGCACATCCTGGGGGCAAAAGTCAGCAGAAATTCCCTAGTGTTAACCTCATGAGCAGCTGCTTCCTTGCACTGGCTCCTCGGGGAAGCCCATAAATCATATACGAAGCCTTGAGTTTTCCTGTTTGGCAAAATTATTTGAGTAACAACACATCAGCAGCAGAGTAAGATGAAAAACCTCAAAACAGAGAATTCTCATTAATTTTTCTTTATTGGTATGCTTCAGAAGAATTCTGATTTAGATATTCAATCTTAAAAATTAACTGGTCATGAAATTTACGAATCTTTTGTATGCTTACAATGTCTTGGGTATTCTTTATTTTATGTTTCTAAAGCGCTAGATGAAATATCATGTGAACTATCTATCATCTTCAAAATCACCACATCCAAACCTATAGTTCATGTGTTGACCAGTTATGCTTACATTGGATGTTGTAATCCCTATAAAATATTTGAATGATTCAAGTAATACTATACCCAACATACATATCTCCCCTTGAAACCTATCTCAACTTCTAACCTTTTAAAAAGGTCAGTAACATAATATTAGCAACTCTAACATTATAGTACTTTTTGAAGCTTTGTACTATTTTAAATTATGTAATACTTTTCCTTTTACTAACTGCTAAGAACATTTATTATATGCTATACTACAACATTTCATAAAACAGGCTTTAAAATTACAGTGAGGCCAGGTGTGGTAGATCACACCTGTAATCCCAGCACTTCAGGAGGCTAAGGCAGGAGAATTGCTTGAGCCCAGGAGTTCAAGACCAGCCTGGGCAACATAGCAAGCCCCTGTCTCCATCAAAAATTAAAATTAAAAAATTCACTGGGGGCCAGGTATGGTGGCTCAGACCTGTAATCCCAGCACTTCAGGAGGCTGAGGTGGGTGGATCCCGAGGTCAAGAGTTCAAGACCAGCCTGGCCAAGATGGTGAAACTCCGTCTCTACTAAAATACAAAAAAATTAGCTGGGTGTGGTGGCAGGCACCTGTAATCCCAGCTACTTGGGAGGCTGAGGAAAAGAATTGCTTGAACTTGAGAGGTGGAGGTTGCAGTGAGCCGAGATCACACCACTGCACGCCAGCCTGGGTGAAGATGCGAGACTCCGTCTCAAAAAAAAAAAAAAATTCACTGGTTGTGATGGCGCATGCCTGTGGTCCCAGCTACTCAGGTAACTGAGGCAGGAGGATTGCCTGAGCCCAGAAGTCAGGGCTACAGTGAGCTATGACTGTACCACTGCACTCTGCCAGGGTGACAGAATGAAACCCTGTCTCTTGGAAAAAAAGAAAAAAAGGTATGTATCTAATGCAATGTTTAAAAGAGATAATTAAATATACTGTATGTGTTTTAAAAATATGACAAGTTTTTTTCTTTTTTAAGACAGAGTCTCCCTAGTCTGGAGTGCAATGGCACGATCCCAGATCACTGCAACCTCTGTCTCCCAGACTCAAGCAATCCTCTCACCTCTGCTTCCCTAGTAGCTGGGACCAAAGGTGCACACCACCACCTCCAGCTTATTTTTGTAATTTTTGTAGAGACAGGATCTCACCATGTTGCTCAGACTGGTCTCGAACTACTGAGCTCAAGGATCCACCCATCTCAGCCTACCAAAGTGCTGGGATTACACGTGTGAGCCACTGTGCCCAGCCTGACAAGCACTTTTTAAATGATACCTTTAACTGTACACTAAAAAAAAATTTTTTTAATCCAGAATTTAAAAACTGTGGCCTAAGAGATACCTATTTCCCATTTCTCTCTTTTTTTCCTATTCCTAGGAAAAATGAAAAACCTGAAAACTGGGAAAACTCAGTAATTTTTATTTATTGGTATGCTTACAGAAGATTCTGATTTAGAGATCTTCAATCTTAAAAATTAACTCACCATGAAATTTATCCTCATATACTGGCTTCACTAGTGAGGCAGTTAACTACATAGGGATAAAGAGCTCAGTATCTGGAATCATGCTTCCTGGCTTTAAATTATAGCACTGCCACTCAAACTGCTGAGAAGACTTGGAAAGTCACTTAACCTTATTTATAAAATAGAGAGAATAGTACCTCTTCTACAACGTTTGTCAGGATTAAATAAAGAAAATACATGTAAAGTCCTCAGTGCAGTACCTAACACATTTCAAGTACCCAAATGTTATTGGATCCATAACTAAAAACAAACAAAACAAAACAAAACAAAAGCAAAACCCTAATATAGGCCTCCTTCTAATGAATAATAAAAATTTTAATTTACATTTGAATGTTTAAATTCATCACTCTTTATGAATACTCTGCAACTATTACAACTGTAAAACTTACACTAAATGCAAAATTCTAGGCAATATATATTTGAGTCATGGTTCATTTTTATATATAGCTTATAAATAAATCACTAAGCAATAATGATGTGTGTATATGCATGTATATATATGTGTGTGTGTGAATGAAAATGTGTGTGTGTGTGTGTGTGTGTGTGTGTGTGTGTGTATTTTTTCTTTTAGACAGGGTCTTGCTTTGTCACCCAGGCTGGAGTACAATGGCTCTATCTTGGCTCACTGCAGGCTCAGCCTCCTGGGCTCAAGCAATTCTCCCGCCTCAGCCTCCCGAATAGCTGGGACTACAGGTACATGCCACCATACGTGGCTATTTTTTTAAAATTTTTTTCATAGAGATGGGGTTTTGCTATGTTGCCGGGGCTGGTACCAAACTCTTGGGCTCAAGTAATCCACCTGCCTCAGCCTCCCAAAGTGTTGTGACTACAGGTGTGAGCCACTGTGCCCAGTGAAATTGAAATATACTTTAAAAAAATAATTTTTTATTTGAATAAAAACAGGAGAGTGGGAAGAGGAGGTAGCCAGTGGCAACTGACTAGAAAGGACAGTAGAATAAAGGGCACTAAGTAAGTTCGTAGAGAAAATATTCAAGAATATCTGATAATTGAATCATAGAGAATTTGTGGAAGTAACACAGACATCTTTATAAATTCTTAGTCTTGATAGTTAATTCATAAAGTAAGATTCAAACATACTGGCTTTGGGTGGAAATGTTTTCTATTAATAGGCAATAGTAATCTAATACTATAGGAGAAAAGATTATTATAACATCATTCAGAAAATTTAGCACAATTTGCTTTAATAGATGGTGGTAGAATAAAGGTGGAATTTTTACATAATTGTTATTTTTGTGTTTATCTTACAGTAGTCTTTATTCTGAGCATTATCATTTTTATGTTTTAGCAATTAAATCACAATAAATTTGTAGGAATCACTTGTTTACTGAAAATAAAGCAAACCCAAATATATAAAATCCAAAAACATTAGCAACTTATTTTGAGAAAAGGTTAAATTTAATAAAGTGAATTCACTAATAGTAGTATTTCTAAAACTTGATCCTAGAAATACCTAATATACTTGTTAAAAATACAGATTTCTAACCAGAAAGATGAATTCACGTGGCATGAGATAAGGCCCCAGAATCAATAGGTGTTATATGCACTCAAAGGTGATTCCTAAGATTAGGCAACTTTGGAAAACACTAAATATTGTATATATAAGTATGTATTATACTGTAAGATCAATCACTCTACTAAAACTTAAATGACTCCCAAGGTAACACAACTAGGATCACAAGGGAACTCAAATCCAGGTTTTAAAAATCAATTATTTTCCATTTCCAAAGACATTCTTCCAAAGTGTGTTCCATTCTTACAAAGTAGATACAACCTAGCAATCAGATGTCTCTTCAATTTTATATAAATACTTGAAAAATTATACATTTATTAGGATGATTAGCCTTAAAAAGGATTAAGGATAAGTTTATGTATTTCTTCGGGTCACTCTCTCCCTTTAGGGGACAAAGTACATACTGAGTGCCTACTATGCACTAGCTGTTTTATATACGTCATTAACTTAGATTTGCACTACCCTTCTCAAGGTTTATGTTGTCAGATGAGGGAACTAAGTTCCAAAGCAAATGAATACTATTATTAAACATCAGACTGGGGTGCCAGCTCACGTTTTGGACTCCAAAGCACATATATACTATCTTTGTATGCCTAGAAACATACAAAGCACATATATACTGTCTTTGTATGCCTTAACACTAGTTTTATGCAAGCCAGTATACTAAGCACACCTGGTTAAGTCACACATTCATGATTATGACAAGCACTTGGTAGGTAATCAGAGGGAAATAATCTTTGGGGATCAGGAATCTGAGAGTTGAAGAAAAGTAAAGTAGTATCATTATAAAAGGTGTTACTACAGGATGTAATGGTCTAACAAAAGAGGTAATAATCTTGTTTGTGAATTAGGGAAGGCTTCCTAGAGAAAGCAATTGAGCTGTTTTCTCAGGTAAAAAGGGTGTGGTGTTTATTCCGGATTTCATCCAGATAAAATCGTATGTGCAATTGCAAAGAGATAGGAAACGGTACTGATGGTGGTCTGATTTAACTGGATACAAACAGGTAATATACAAGATACAAAGAAGGTAGTGAAAAATGAGGCTGGAGAGGTAGGCAGGGAACCAGATCATGAAAGGATGTCCTGAATGAATTCAGGCTAGCCAATATAGTCAGATTTGCATTGTGAGAAACAGTTTCAAAGTGAGTGAGATTGAAGCTGGGAGAAAACTTAGGAGGCTAAGTAGGTAATAAATGAGGAAAAATGTGAACTCAAGCCATGGTAGTGGGGATTAAAAAGAGGGGTTGAGATTAAGACACATTTAAGAGCAATAAATTGAAAATCTTAGCAAATAATCAAATATATATACAGTTTTTTAGGAAGGTAATTATAATGTAAAGCAGCCTTAAAGTTGTTAGGACTTTTACATTAGATCATGTGAAACTAAACATCATATCCCAATTTGTTAAAATCTATTCACAATTCAACGTAGTTTTACTAATCATAATGAAGAATCACATGCAGTTCTCACCCTAAATAGATCATAATGCAAATCTTTTATTAATTGACTACTAATTACTAAATCTATTATCTGAGAAGTGATGTTATAAAACCAGAGACTTACAGGTTAGTTCACAAAAATTCTTAACACAAGACACACGTGAATTTAACTACTATTAACAGTTAAATAATTGTTTTAAAGAAAATTGTCTTTCAGGATGCCCAAGTGGTTCCCAAACTATGCTGCATATTAGAGTCATCTGAGGGGTTTTCTAAACTCTGACAGCCAACACCAACTACATAACACTACACACCAACTTCACAAGAATAGGTATGCCAATGAGCTTTAAAAGAGATCGATGATTCAGGTAAATAAATATTTTTTCTTCCTAAAACAATATAATATTTATTCTTGTCAAATGGACCTTTTAGGGAGTGAAAAACTGATTAGTTCTACTGGTATCCACAACAACTTGAAATTTGAAATGCACTTGCTATCATTTGAAAATCATACTTTTTATAAATTATTTTCATAAATAGTCATAGAATACCTGTGCTGGGACTTTGTTCAGCAATATGAGAGGCTTTTTTCTTTGCAGAAGAAAGTCTTGTTGGACAAGGTTTTGACACAAATGTTGGAAATATGTCTGACCTACAATGAAACAAAGTAATTTCAATAAACATTAAGATTTAGTCCTGTTCAATACTAACATGACATACTCTCTATTCTTATTAACTCACTGAACTTTTAAATAATAAGGGAGCAATAGGTATGACACTTGAAAAAATATGGCTAATAGTATTTTTTTTTTTTTTTTTGCTATTCTTAATTCACCTTTTAGATTTCCAACCTTTTTAACATATGGCCAGTTCTTAATTGTTCATAATTGGATTCCCATAGAAAATGACTCTCTGACTAATGCTGTACAATCCCTAAGGGGAAAAAACAAAACAGAACAACTGATCCAAGAATCCATTCCAAAACCAAATCAAGGCCAAGTGTGGTGGCTCATGCCTGAAATCCTAGCATTTTGGGAGGCCAAGACAGGATGATCACTTGAGCCCAGGAGTTCAAGACCAGCCTGCCACCATGGCAAAACTCCTTCTCTACAAAACACTCAAAAGTTAATTGGGTATGGTGGTGTTCACCTGTAGTCCCAGCTACTACAGAGACTGAGGTGGGAGGATCATCTGAGCCCAGGAGGCAAAAGTTGCAGTGAGCTGAGATTGCTCCACTGCACTCCAGCCTAGGTGACAGAGTGAGATACTGTCTCAAAAAAATAAAAATAAAAATAAACAAATCAAATCATTCTTAATTATCTAACATACAATTTAACCTCATATATGATAACACAAAAATAGAGACTTGGCTAAATTATAAGAGATCAGGAACAAGTGAGTTTGGCAAATGCCACTTTCTTCTTAGACTATTCTTTGCTAGGCCTTGTTTCATTAAAAAAGCCAACTGAAGAATGTTAAATCTGAGTTTAAGGGAACCGTTTTAAATCAGTAAGTTTTGCAATGTCAGTAAGTTAGTGATGAATGTTAAAAAGAAGACATTTTACAAAGAAGCACAATTCTTAGTAACTGGATAGGAATATATTTGTCGATGTACCTAGTGAGAAATCATTGTTAAATATTTTGAAAGAGCAATTTCTCTAGAATAAATAACTATAAATTTATATTTGTACTAAGTGTAGTTGACTTGGATGAAAGAAGAAATTTCAGTCTCTAGGAGGGTGGTTTTCAACAATTTTTCTTCCCTAACCCACCTAAGGATAAATCTTTGAATCAGGCAGTAGTGGCTTTCTTTGGCCATGAATCTTAAGGTAGAATGCAAGCTGGTTAAGAATAATTGTTATAAAGCCACCAATCTTAAATGTGGAAATCTTAGATTCACTAAAGGCAATTCAGTCCATAAATGAGGGTGTGCTGAACTACCTTCTCACAGAATTCAGTATCTGAAGAGAATAACTCAGTGAGAAAACATAGGACATTATGTATTCTAAATCATATAAAATGAACTTTTCTTCCTAAGTATGTGTCAAATTATTTATACAACCTTGCAACTGCAGGATTATATAAGATAAAATTTTCATCTTCATAGAAGATCATGAAAGGACTTTAGTTCTAAAAGCTAAAAACATATTTTGTGTCTTATAAGTTAATGTAAACACTAGACCATGTTGTCATTACAAATTCATTTTGTCAATATGCATATTATTCTACCTAAGTAATTACAACAAAGGAACTGTTGGAAGATAAAATTTCCAAGTACAAAACAAGCTGCTATTTAAGTTAAAAATGTATTTAAAAAAATGGGCTGAGACAAACTTCTAAGAATGGGACACAAAAATTCAGTTTAATTCTATGAACTACTAGAATAAAACATTATTTTCTATTTAGAACACTACCTCTCCTTTGCTTATGCAATCTCTACTTACCTACATTTCTTAGAAGTTCCAATTCACTAAAATGAAATCAATTTTAATTTTAAATGTTTATTTCTGGTTCAGGATGAAATCAAAGAAAAAAAAATAAGACTGATAATACTAAATGTTAGCAAAAATGTGAAACAAGTGTAACTCTCACACATTGCTGGTAGGAGTGTAAAGTTACACAGTCATTTTGGAAAACTGTTTAGCAGTTTCTTAAAAAGTTAAATATGCATCTACTCTATGTCCTATTAATTCTATTACCAGGGTTTTGTCCACAATAAAAGAGGAAGGGATTCCCCAAAATCCTACAGTATGGTCACAGAGATGCCCAGAAAGCAGTTTGAGATGACTTATCAGTTAAGTGAGGTTAAGGTTTAAGACTTAGAGGTTATAAAAGTAATCTGAAAAAGTTAGTCCAACTGTTATGCTGAAAAATAATTTTCTGTTGGTGGGCGGTGGCTAGGATTTTAAGTGCAGCACTATTGCTGTAGGGAGGCTCCTAAGAAGGATATGAGAACTATGGCATGAAGTCCTGAGCTTCTACAAGATAATAGAAATAAAATCTAAGAAAGTAACAGCTGTGTGAAACTTATCCATAAATTAAAGGAAATTGGTGCTGAGCTTAAAATAAAAGCAGTAATATCAGCAATAGATTAACTGGCAAAGAGTCAATGATCCAGAAAAGAACTAAAGGACAAAAAACATTAGGATAAATCTTAGACAGGAAGAACAATTAGGGCTTTAGGAACAGGGTCTGTACTAATTTAAAAGCTGTGTTTATAGTTGGGCTTGTGTTCCCTTTCCACTCACACCAGAAACCAAGACTAAGCAAGGTAATATTTGTAAATGTTTCCACTGTCTTTTAAATATATTTTAACATTTTAAAAACTAAAACAGAAATGGCATTAAGTTTTTACAAATATGATATTAGGGCTCTAAATCACTAGTTACAGAGGAGCATTCATTTATCATGCCAAAAAATAAAATACATTATTCTCTTCCCCTGAGGAGTTGTAGACAGAGAAGTCAATGAATCTTGGCTGTAAACTCCACTTTCACTGTAAGAACTGATGTTTGGAGACGAAGACCGAGACGGGGAGTCCATTGTCAAGTCGAGCTTCATTGCAGAATCAGGGCTTTCAAGATCTGAAGTACTGCCACTCAGTTTTGCTCTTTTCTTAGCTGCACTATTACGAAGGGACCTAAGAGAGCTATGCATCTAAGAAAAAATGAAAACAATAAACTTTATAACATAAATTCCTTATATTGGTAAAAGTTATCCTTAAATTTTAAACTCCGTTAGCTATACCTAGCTAACCACTTCCCAATCCTGTACTAAAACAAGATGAATGCTAACATATATGTATATAGTATAAATATACAGATTTATAACCTGGGTATTTAAAACAACCTACTAGGTTAGAAGCTCCTTGAGAGAAAGAATCTCAGTGATTATTCTTCATGGGTATCTTTAGCACTGGGCACAAGGACTAAATATATTGCATTAATTTAATTATTTAATAAATGAATCATTAAATCAAATGGTAGATATCAGAGTTGATGTTATAGAGAGAAGTACACCTGGTGTGCTGATGTGGCTTAGAAGCTAGCTCTGGGAAGTGGTTAACGAAAATCTGTCACTGTACATAACTTCTGAAGCCACGTATTTTTAGAAATGCAGCTGGGTCTGAAGCCACGTATTTTTAGAAATGCAGCTGGGTGGCCGGGAACAGTGGCTCACACCTCTAATCCCAGCACTTTGGGAGGCTGAGGCAGACAGATCACGAGGTCAGGAGGTCGAGAGCATCCTGGCCAACATTATAAAACCCGGTCTCTACTAAAAATACAAAAATTAGCTGGGTGTGGTGGCATGCGCCTGTAATCTCAGCTACTCGGGAGGCTGAGGCAGGAGAATCGCTTGAAGCTGAGAGGCAGAGATTATAATGAGCTGAGATCGCACCACTGTACTCCAGCCTTGTGACAGAGCAAGACTCCATCTCAAAAAAAAAAAAAAAAAAAAAAGCAAAAGCAGAGTAGAAATTATGACAAACTGATATATTAAGGCTGTCAACAGAACTTTGAAAAAAGTAAGGAACACAGAAACATACATAAACTGTTTTGTTTACATCTGATTCATAAGATTAATCATTTAATGAAAGTATCTATTTTCAATTAATGCAACATCCATAAATTTCTTAAATCTTTATAGTTGGAAGGCAAATTTAACAAAAAAAAAAAAAACCACTTTAATAGATTTATACCAATTGTAGCACAGTGAAAAACATAGTGAACATAAAGTTAGGTGAGCAGGGCTTGAATCCTAGTCCTACTACTTACTTTCTGACTTTGAGCAAGACATGTAACATCACTGAGCCCCTTCTGTAAAAACAAATACACACACAAACAAAAAATATAATAGATGTGGTCCTGTTTATTAACCTAGGGAGTTACTGTAAAGATTAAATGAAGTAAGGAAAATGAAAGTGTTTGATACATTATTAAGCACATTAAACACTATAAAAACTTATGCCTTTGTTAAAAGTCAACTCCACCAAGGAATTTAAACAGTGACCCATTCAAAATAACAAATAAGAAGTGTCATATTAGCAACTATAAGGGAGGACAAGTAATTTTCAACAACTATACTAGTTGATTCAATACTAAGGCCACTTCTCTAATAAAAGCTTGAAAGGTTGAATATCTAAAAGTAATGGTATCCTCCTGTTTTTACTAATAATTATGTAAAAGAAACTCACCTTTCAATTACTCACTAAAGAAAAAGAACTGTTTTTAAATTATAAAAACAAATCAAAATCATGTAGGATCAGGTGAAATTTGTAAGTTATGTAGGAAAAGTCTTTTCTATATGTTTCTTCCCTTCAAATGAATTCCCTTCCTAGCTCTACTAAAATACAAATGAGTTAGAAAAAAAAAAAAAGGAAAGATTTCACAAGCAGTTAGAAGTTGGGGTGATTACTTTAAATCATTAAAAACCAACTTTGGTACTTTATAGGTTAGTTTTATATGTGTTTAACAGTAAAGACATACTTCATAAATGAATATACAGTAATATTAACTATTTTATTGAGCAAATTATTGTTACATGATTGATGCTTATACCTTAAAAACAGACTAAAACTGTAAAATATCATAATTGAGTATTTTCATTTATATATTTAATATAAAACTTTTTTTTAACCTGACATGAGGCAAACTGAAATGATAAAAATGCGTTATCTATGGAAACAGTAGTCTGAAAAAAGTAATACAGCAACCACATTCCTTCTCTGACATAATTATTATGTACAGTTATCACATTGGTAACACATTTTTATAGCACAAAGTGATATAGGATTCAAAGATGAGTATACAATATTATCTCAATTTCATAAAGATAAGTAAGTTTGCACATATGAACAAAGGACAAGTTCCATTATGTTCACTGCAGTTCACTGTTTGCAATAGCAAAAGACTGATCATAAGCCATAATCAATGGTATAAATATACCATAAGTAAATTAATAGACAAAATAATATATTAATATAAATAGTACAAAAATACATAAAACATAAATAAATGGTAATAGTGGTTGCCCCTAGTGAAGACAGAAGAGACGTTGAACAGGGAAGAGAACTATGCTGTTTCATTTATTTAAATATAGGAAACAAATATGACAAATTGTTCACTGGAAGGGGTCAGCACATGAGTGTATTTGCTATATTATTATTCATACTTTTAATTTAAAAAGGAATAAGGTATGCATAGAAAAAAATCCTTGAAGAAAATACAGTAGAGTGTTAACAGTACCCACTATTCTGGGTAGTGGGAACTGGTGTGTGATAAATTCCCTTCCTAATAATTGATGGTATTTTCCACATTTTCCATAAAGAACATATTTTTAGAAATAAGATGTTATAGGATAAAAAGAACTTGATTTTTCCTTAAATCGAAACTATAATATAGAAAACTGCAAATATTTTTAAGTCATTACCTCTTCTTGATCAAAATCTTTATCCTTGAAATTTAATTCAGAAAGATCAATTGGAAGACTATCTTTTTCACACTTCCAAACGTCATCAGACTCTTTCTTTTTGTGTCCCACTGCGCTTAAATCAGCTTTATCAGGCAACAGGCTTATTCCCCTTGGTATAGGAGGAACAGGCTTTGTTCCATTTAGGCCTCGTCGGGAAGATGGTAATCTCACCAAAGCAGGTGTAAGCTGAACTGAAGGTTTTTCTTGAGAATTTTCTCCTGCATTAAAAATAAATATTTTACTATTTCTTTTTTTTAATTTTAGAGGAGAAGAGGGAGTTATAATCACAAGTATTTAAAATACAATGTTTTAAAATAAAAAAAGCACATTATAGCTGGCCACTGGGGAGAACAAGCTGAATAAAGCCTTGACTTTGAATGTAATATTTGATTTTGTACAATAAACAAATATAGAAAGAAATTAATAGAAGAGAATCAAAGTACAGTGCTAAGGAAAATAATAAAATTAACTGAATATGCTATAAATTGAATACTGGACTTGTAGGATAGTCTAAAGGTGAATGAAATATCTTACATCAATGGCTGGGGAAAGAAGACTATGAGGGATGCAGGGGATTTTTTTTATTATACCTTTAATTTTTATTTATTTATTTATTTTTTGAGGTGGAGTCTTGCTCTTGTAGCCCAGGCTGGAGTGCAGTGGTGCATCTCGGCTCACTGCAACCTTTGCCTCCCAGGTTCAAGTGATTCTTGTGCCTCAGCCTCCCAAGTAGCTAGGATTACAGGCATGTGCCACCAGCTGGGCTAACTTTTGTATTTTTAGTAGAGACAGTGTTTTACCATGCTGGCCAGGCCAGTCTCGAACTCCTGACCTGAAATGATCTGACCACTTTGGCCTCCCAAAGTGCTGATATTACAGGTGTGACCCACTATGCTCAGCAGCCAACTCTTTAAGACTGAATTTGCCCTGAATGAACTTACATATGCTAATTTCATGACTTTGGAGTTGGTTATTAAGAAAAGAACATTTTAGTTTGTAACAAATAATAAAAAATGTTTCAAATTAACTTTAACATATATTAAACACTCAATAAATGTTGACTGAATACTAGGCATTAATTGCAATAAGCATATGAATGACATTTTATATTTATAAAGCTAAAATTTGTTAGTAGGCTCTTGAACAACATATGCTGTTCATGTTTATTATAAAACAATATTATTTTCTGGCCCACCACAGTGGCTCAAGCCTGTAATCCCAGCACTTTAGGAGGACGGGATGGGAGGATCATTTCAGGTTAGGAGTTCAAGAACAGCCTGGTCAACATAGTAAGACCCCCTCTCTATT